GAGCATCCCCCGGAGTGAGAGCATCCCCCCGAGTGAGAGCATCCCCCCGAGCACGGATGTCTCAGCCCGGCCGGACCCGCACCGTGGTACCGTTTGTCGGGTTGGGGATGCTCCGGTGCAGCTCTCCCTCTGCCCACGGGGAACCGGCAGCGTTACCACCGGGGGTGAGAACCAAATCCTGTCCCGTTCCACGGGGGTGGAAGGGACGGGACTTGGCAAGAAACAGCCTCGCCGTGCCGAGGCACCGGGGTGTGCACGGAGTAGGCGGCTGTGAACCCCCGGCTCTCCCTGCGCCTCGGTCCTTGTGGGGTCACGTTTGGGGTGACCCCTTTCCTCTCTCTTCCTTTCAGGCTGGTGTCAACAGTGCAAGCCACCATGGCAACAGTGTCAGGGATCATAGTTGTCCTCAGCTGCAAGAACGTGGTGCATGACAGGTAAGGCAGTGCCCACCCGCTGCCAGGGATGTGCTCGGCCAGCTCGGGGATGGAGGGCTTGCTGCCAAAGGTTTGCACGTACAAAGGGGAGAGGAAAACCAGTTTTGTGTTCCTCTTTCCCCCACTTCAGCTGGAAGGGTTGGGCAATGAGCTGGATGTACACCCCCTGAACAGCCTGGGAGGGCTCTGCCAGCACAGTCTCCTCCAAAGGATGGAAAACATGGGCTGTATATAGAGAAAAATACAGAACATCATCAGCTCTGAAGGGCTAGGGAGTCTCCTTGCTGGAAGCTGAAATTGCTACAGAGTCAAGCAAACCTGGTGAGAACTGATTTTAGAGGTGCATCAAAAAGGATTCTGGAAGAGTCCAGAAATGGTAAAGTTGGAATGGAATGGTAAAGTTGGATTCCTCTGGAGGAAAATCCTGCTGCCTTGCCCTCAGAGCTCTGGGATAAACTGCCCAGAAGTGATTCTCAGGAGGAATGATAGCGTAATCTGGGTCAGAAGACTTAAAAACAGAGCTATTATCCAGACTAGCAGAGAAGATTGCAGAGGGGAAGAATATAATTATGCTGAACTGGAATTCAACCATCACACACTGATTTTAGGGTGATTTTTAGGAAGGGCTTCCAACTTGGTCATAGCAGACCTGTCTTTAATACACAGATATGAATTATCTCGCCTTGTTTTAGATAAATCCAGACTCCTCAGGGCTGCTTAACCCAAGCAGTCTATGAGTTACCTTTTTGCTCTGAAATAAAATTTCTGCTGTATAGATAAGGCAGATGATGAATCCCAAAGCCACACAGACAGAAGGTGCTGCCAGCAGCCCTCCTTCCCCCAGAGCTGTCTGCTTGCCCGGGTGTACTCAAGGCCAAGGGCTCTGTGCAAACACTTTGTGGGCAGAGACCTAGATTTTCTTTGAATCTGGAGGAAATTGAGCCCAGTGCTCAGCAGGGAAGGCCTTGGAGAATGACAGCAAGACAGCGAGCCAGGAAGCATCACAAAGTTTGCAGTAAAATTTGCCAATTTATTTACAGAGGCAGACAATCGTTATATGGCCGGTGCTGTAATTGCCCTCCAAAGCCCTGGGCAACTTCTGCAAACACAATCACTTGCCACCCCTGCTTCACACCACTTACATCTTTCCATCTGGAGCAGGAACTCCTGCAACAAATCTTTTCTTGGGATGGCAGGAGAGCAAAAAGAGATTTGGGCCCCAAACTACATTTCTCCAAGCAACAGCACAGGGGGGCTTTGTCTTTTTTTTTGTCTTTTTTTTTTTTAATTTAATTTTATTTATTTATTTTTAATTTATCAGTGTGATTTCAGGCAGGGTTTTTTAAGGAGGCCAGTGTCCCTGCAGAGCAGGGCTTGCTGCTGCCCAGATTGTGCAACCAGGATTCCAACATGCTTTGGGAACAGGCAGCTGCCTGCAATTATTTCCCAACAGACAAATGCCTCATGGGGGTTTATTGCCTCTGCTGGATATTTTGTGCTTCACTCTCCAAACTCCAGGCCGGCCATCCCTGGTTAACTCTGAGTTCTCCACGTGCTTCCCAAACATTCTCTGGATTAGGCAGACAGCTGATGCAGTGACAGGCAGGAGAGACACAGGATTAGGGGTTTCCACCACCAAGCACCAGCTCTGGGGGTCCCAGGGCTTAGGAGAGGAGATCACCTGTGCAAAGGAGTCAGCTTGGTGCTGAATCCCAAAAAATGCTGTGCCCCTGGTCCATGCAGCAAACTCCAGGCTGTGGGGCTAATCAGGATCCTTCGTTAGCGCCGTGTTTGTGCTTGGCCAGGCTGAGCTCAGTGCCTGGCACAGCCCAGCAGGAGCAGGGTCAGCACTGAGATCCGTCCTCCACACGTACCAGGCACCTTTTCTCTGAATCAGCCTGTACCTGGCTGAGCCAAACAGACTCAAAATTCACCCCCTTCCAGCTTCAAAATCCATTGAAGTGCTGCCATTTCAGTCCTAAAGGCTCTTCCACCTCCCAGAGCATCACAAAGTGCTTGGAGCCGTTGTGATGCCTCTGTGTGTGCTGCTCCTCCCCAGGCACTGGCTGGCCGTGGAGTACATATGGGTCCTGGTTCCCTACATGACCTATGACATCTATGTCATGTACCTGTGCCACTGGCACAAGAGCCAGGAGAAGGGGATCCTGCAGAAGAAGCACTCTCTGGCCAGCGTGTGGAGCTTCCTCCTGCAGGAGCGGCTGATGGTGACCCACCACCTCTTCATCCTCATCGTGCTCACCCCCATCACCCAGGTAAGGGCTGCTGCAGGAGCCCAGGACCCCCTGGACACGCTGGGTGTTGGCTCCTGGCCACCTCTTTGCAGGGCCCCAGGCTCAGTGCTGGCTTTCTTTACAGCACTTCAGGGGAGAGCTGGGGGACTTCTTCGTGGGCTGCATCTTCATAGCAGAGCTGAGCACACCTTTTGTATCGCTGGGCAAAATCCTCATGCAGGTAGGTGAGGAGGGATGGGGCAGGGAAGCCACAGCAGTTCACCTCCTCTCCCTGCCCCAGGCTCCATCAGCTCCTCCCCAGGCAGTGGCTGAGCTTGGGGTGTCTCAGAGAGGGGCAGCCCCACAGCTGTAGCCCAAATCTCCCCTGCACTGCTGCCTCCCTCCCAGTGTCCCATCCCTTTCCCCCAGTAACCAGCACACCCAGAACTGGGGGCTGTGCTGTGGGCTGGTGCTGCCCTCTCCTGCCTGTTCCTCCCCTGCACCACGTTCATTCCCACCCCTCCTTCCTCCTCCCCTTCCTCCAGCCCTCCTGGATGGGTTCCTCCTCATCTCATTGCTCCCAGCACCGCCGGTGCCCCAGAGCGCTGGGGGCGCTTCTCACCCCACGCTCCCCTCCTTCTTCCCCCAGCTCAAAATGCAGGACACGCTCCTGCACAAGGTGAACGGGATCCTCATCCTGGTGACCTTCTTCGTGTGCCGCATCCTCCTCTTCCCCTTCATGTACGCGGCCTACGCCCGCCAGGTGGGGATGCCGCTTTACCTGGTGCCGTTCCGCATCCCCCTGCACTGCAACATCGCCAACGCGTCCCTCATCGCCCCCCAGCTCTACTGGTTCCGCCTCATCTGCCGCAAGGCTGCCCGGCTCTACGGCGGCTCCCCGGCCCACCGGAGCTGAGAACGGAGCTGAGAACGGAGCTGAGAACGGGGCTGATAACGGGGCTGAGAACGGAGCTGATAACGGGGCTGATAACGGGGCTGAGAACGGAGCTGAGAACGGAGCTGAGAACGGAGCTGATTGATAACGGAGCTGATTGATAACGGAGCTGATTGATAACGGAGCTGATTGAGAACGGAGCTGATAACGGAGCTGGCACACAGGCAGCCCCCGGCCCTTCCCCGGGAGCAGCGGTTCTGCTGGAGCTGGGAGCAGCCTCCGGTCTCCAGCGCTGTGCCGGCAGCATCAGGCTGGGCGAGGAAGGTTTCCTGCACACCGCTCCGGTGCCCCGTGTCCTCCCGCCGGGGTGGCAGCCGGCCTGGAAGGACGGCATTCCCCGTGGCATTCAGCTCTGCAGCACCGCCGAAGCGAGGGTTCCACCAGAGGGGTTTGCTGCAGCCCCGGGGATGGGGAGCTTGTGCCGGAGCTGCTGCAGCCCCAGCCAGGCCTGGAGCTGCAGCACAGCTCTGAGAGCCGTTCCTGACCTTTAGTGACTTCAGCTCTACACTACAGCCTGCTCGGCCTCCCCCGTGCACCTCCCGCTGCAGCTGCTGGGCTCAAGCTCCGCTTACCCCTCCGGTGCTTTCCACTGCAGTGTCTGACAGCCCTGGGGGACTCCCGTGTTCCCAGCAGGGCTGGAGGGCTCACGCCACCACAGGGGAACGGTTCTGCTGTCTCAGGGCAGGAGGAGGACAGGAACCTGCCGAGTCCTTGTCTCACCATCACACAGGGCACTATGCAGAGGCTACAATTTTCCCTTCCCTAAGCACAGCTGCTTTTATCTGCCCTGCATCCCCTCAGGAGGAATTTAAAACCATCTGGTAGACCTTGCTCTGCTCTGCCCTCCAGCTGGCACCACCACAGCCTGGGAACACCTGTACAGTGGATCCCTCCAGCCCCATCCCACCCGCCATGGGGCTGCCAGGGACAGAACTGGGGCTGCACAGAAGGATCCAGCAATCCCAGAGCAGGATGCTGAGCTGGTCCTTCACTGGTTCAGCCCATTTCCACTTTCAGTCACAGCAGAATGGGTACAGGCTCCCCAGCCCACCCTGCACCACAGGGTGTGTGCATCAGACCACGGCTGCGTTCATTCCCTGCAGCCAGCACCAGCCAGGGCAGCCACCTCCTCCTGCAGCTTCCTGTGCCTGCTCCGGGGCAGGAACAGCCCTGGCACAGCCCTGGCACAGCCCTGGCACAGCTCCATGCCCAGAGACCTGTGACCACTCCGTGCCTTTCGTTCTGTCTGAAACCAGCAGCCAAGCTCTGGGAAACCTGGATCTTTTGGGTGTTGGATCTCATCCCAACCACGGCTGCTGTTCTGGATAGAGTGTAAAACAACAAAAAGGGCTTCTTCTGACCTGTGGTTGCTGTTGCAGAGACACCACAGTCACAGTAACCACGGATGACCACAGAGACCAGCTGATGTTACAAACAGCTTGCAACTCATTACAGATGTTGTATCTCACTGTTTTCATTGTGAAAAATGTGCCTTATGTAAGGAAAAAAAAAAACCCAGCCAATGAGGCACCTCAGTTTGCACTAACACTGCCCTATTTACTGTCAGGAGACCAATAAAGATTTCCTCTCTGAGTCACACCACTGGCTGGCTCTTCCACGTGCCGTTCATTGCTGGGTGGGGGTGTTACATGTGGGCTTACTGCTGCACCCCCACCTCCGGGCAGGAGCAGCACACACGGATTTCCAAAAGTTCCTGCCTGTCCTGAACTCACCCAACTCGCTTCCCAGCCTCCAATTTGCTTTCCAGCCTCTGGCAGCACGTGGCAAAACCAGCAATTCTCCTGGGACTAGGAGAGGGCTGGTGGCAAAGCAGCCAGAGGGAAGCGATTTCCTCGATGCTGGAGGCTGCTGTGTAAATGCAGAGAGCCAGCAGCAGGCAAGGCTGCAGCCACAGAACTGGCAGCTTGCACAGGAACAGCTGTGCCCAGTTATTCCAGTGGAAAACCAAAGCAGCTCCTCCCACCCATCTTTATATGGCTACTTCCATTGCTCAGTGGATGGAAACAGCAGGGAGGCAGTAGATTCAAAAGTGAAAAATAAGGTTTTATTACAGATATTACAACATCCAGATCAGTGCTCTGAGCACGTTCCCAGCTTGCTGAGCTTCTGCAGGAGGGTGCTGCGCAACTCCTCGTGGCCCAAGTTGTCGGTGATGGAGTGCAGGAAGTGTCCCTCGTTGGCTCTGTGCAGCGCGGCGCAGGGGGAGGCGTCGGCCTTGCTGGACACCTCGTACTGCGACAGCACCTCCAGGGCCAGCACCAGCAGCGGCTCCCCGCAGCCCCCGGCTGGCAGCATGGCAGCCACGTGCAGCAGGTGGCAGAACAGCTGGATGCAGACGAAGGACAGCTCCTGCGTGCAGGGCTGCGGCGCGGCTCCCGCCGTGGCCCTGATGGAGGCCAGCAGGTCGGTCAGGCTGGCGCAGTAGAGCTGCACCACGTGCAGCCAGGCCTCTGGTGGCAGCCAGGTGGAACAGCTGCAGCTGCAGAGCAGCTGGAAGGCCCGAAGGAAGAGCACGGAGAGCTGGAGGTGGCAGGCAAAGGGACGGAGGTTGAGCAGGGGCATGTGCTGCACGTACTCCAGCGTGTAGGGCACGTGCAGCACCTGCCTCTGCAGCAGCTGCTCCACCACGGGCGCCAGCCTCTTCCACTCGCCGTGGCTGCACCAAGGCAGCACCTGGATGAGGGCCACCAGGAAGCCTTTACTGAAGAGGTTCACCTCTTCGGGGTCGTCCACGTTGACGCTGAGCAGGGCCAGCATGGTGTCCCTGAGCGCTGGGGACACGCAGCAGCACTCCATCCATGCCAGCAGCCCGCTGCCCGGCCCGTAGGCTGGCCATGACTGCGACGTCCACTCATCCTCAGGGAGCCTGCAGATCTCAAACAGCGTCGCTGGGACCTCGTTCTTGAAGTGGTCCCCATAAAGCTTCTTCAGACGGAGCCCCACGGTCCAGTCCAGTGATGCCACCTTCCTGTGGAGCCAGGCCAGCGACTGCACCCACAGCTCCGAGGAGGGGACGGTCTCTGGCCCCACCAGCTCGCACAGCTGGCACAGGATGTTCAGAATCAGGTCTTTGGTCTCCAGGGAAGGGAAGAGCTGCTCCCCAGGCTGATGCCAGTACTTGGTGTAACCATCCAGAAGTCTGCAGAGGCTGAGGATTAGTGGGAACGGGTGGCAGGATTTGATCCAGTGCTCCTCTGAACAGGATGGTATTCCCAAAACCTTACTGAGGATCTGCAGGCTCAGCTCAATCTGAGGAGAGTCTGACTTCAAATAGGGAAGGACAAAGGCTTTGGTCACTTCTACAGGTGATACAAGTGGGGTGGCTGAGCCTGGCTGCATGAGAAAGGCCAGGAACTGAAGGAATTGCTCCTCTTCCCTCACCGTGGAAAGCTTCCCCCACACTGCCTCCTCCAGACACCTCAGCACCAGGCTGCATGGCCTGCCTGGATCCCTGTGGCTCTCCAGGAAGCTCAGTGCTGGGAAGGAGCAGAGGATTTGGGCGAGGAAGTGGTGTGCTCCGAGGTTGACCACAGCAAGATGACAAACCTGCTTTATCGTGGCCTCAGGGGACAGCAGTGTCAGCCTGGCCACGGAAGCCACAGCCCTGGTCAGGCCTTCATCAGACACACTCTTTGTGATCTGGTTTAAAGTCACATTCAGGTCCTCCTGGAACCCCTCCCTGACAACCTGGATGTTCTGGGACAGGCCTGGGCCACCCCAGGACACCAGGACACCTGAGATCACTTTGTTTTTGTCACTTAATGAAAGCTCAGTATAACACTCCACGATGGCTTTGGTCACCTGCATCTGCAGCTCTTGGCTCTCCTTATCATGGTGGGACGTGGCAAAGTTCACCAGCGTCTCCAGCAGTTTCAAAACTAGCTCAGGGCTCTGGAACAGAGCTTTGTTTTCCACCAGGCACTCGACCCAGGCCTTTGAAAAAGCCCAGGTCTTTTCCGATGCAAAAACAGAGCACACGTCCACGTGTCGGTCCAGCCTCTGTGCAATGATTGCCATGGCAACTGAAGACACAAGGCTCGTGTCCAAATCCTTCAGGACAGCACTGGTGTCCCTGAAAATGTCCCTGGTGAGCTGTGTCAGCTCTAACACCAGCCGTGTCTCGCCCTCCCCCAGGTCTCCGGTCTCCAGGAGGAAATCCAGGCTCTTCCCAAGGGTGCTCAGAGTGTCCAGGAGCCGGTAGCTCTCGAAGCAGAGCTCCTCAGATCCCCTCAGAGCGTCCTGCAGCTCCTCTCCCCAGGCCTGCAACAAGCTGCAGAGCAAGTCCAAGCCACCCAAGAGTTCCTCACGAGAGGGTTTGGTCACGGATAGGAGGCTCACGCCTCTCTCTGCCTCCCTGACCTTCTCTGCCAGCCCGCAGGGGTGGTACTGGCTGTCAGTGTCGCTGCTCCAGAGGCTGACCATGGCACTGAGCTTGGCCAGGTGCTCAGTGACGGGCAGGGGGCCGTGCCCTGCCCCCAGCCCAGCCGACAGGCACAGCAGCTCAGCCAGGTTGGCCAGGGCGTAGCACCTCAGGCGGGGCTGAGCGACACTGCCCTGGATCTGCTTCAGCCCCTTCAGCAGCAGCCCCGGGACCCCGCTGGCAGCTGGGGGGGTGCCAGGGTCACCCTTGAACCTCTTTGGGGGCTGCAGTCCATCCTCGGGGGAGGCCTCCCCGCCGTGCTGATGGATGAGAGCGCCGAACGCAGCCACCGTCGCATCCTCCCGTCCCTCCCTGTGCTTCATCACCTCCCACCACACGTCCAAGAAGAACCTGACGTCCGCCGGGGATGTCTCGCTGGAGATGTACTCCAGCAAGCTCTCCAGCTGTGCCCGGCACACGGGCGCAGGCCGCGCCAGCAGCAGCTGCACGAAG